TACAGCATTGTCTGAATTCAAAAATATACTTATCTGACATTTAAGTATAATCATGTCTGAATCAACCAGAAAGGCCTGGTGACAGAGGTACAGATTACTCTGTAATTTAAAGAATAAGAAGTGTTTGAAAGTGAGGAGATGTTGGGAATAACTAAAGAGGAAGAAAAGACTTATAGAATAAAAAAGGAGATGACAAAGTTTAAGGATTATTCAACTAATAGTAAATAAATTGATTTGAAATAGAAAAAATGATGTTTTAAAATAGAGTCAATCAAGGCTTTTCTGCACAAAAGTAGCATAATTTGAGAAGTGTGATGCTAAATCAGTGGAGTGTTCAAGGAGAAAGGAAGACATTAGGGCTAGGGAAGATAAAAGATTAGGATCTTTTGATAGTAAGCATGAGATTACTAGATGATGGTAATCGGGATACCAAAATAGGGTTGGATGAGAAATATTTTCAGTATACAAATGATGATTGTTTACTTCTCAGTAACAAAATAAAAAGTGGAATCAAAGTGATAGATACTATTGCTAGGGACAATAACTATATATCAAGTTTTTCTATATCTTATGATGAAGATGACTTTCTTATCAACTATTTCTCTCTTTCACTTTCTCCCACCATCATAGAAAATCATAGCCCATCTATGCTTCACATGTCTACATGTGGAACCCTATAATTGTTTTTTCATTCAGAAAATAGGTTCAGTCTCTTGTTAATCCTTGTATAGATAGTAAATTTGTATTTTATATCTGAGCGTGGAATGACTGAGCTTTACTTAATATTTATTCTTTGCCATTTGATGTTAGAGCTGATAGTAATTATCAGCCACTGCACCATATTGTACTTACATCTATTTACCTGTTCTCTATTAAGAATACTTCTCGAAAGATTTTGGAATTATTAATTTGTACCAGAACATAATTTTAGGTGTATTTTTATAAAATGTAACAAAATTTTATAGGGAATATATAAACTCATTTTTAGTACAATGAGATGACTTTAGTTTTGGCTCTGAGTTTATGTTAAAAGCATTTAGATGGGGTTAGGAGTTGGATGAAAAATTGGGCCTGGAAAAGTAAATCTGGAAATCATTGACATGGAGAAGGAGTTGATACTCTGTGGAAATAAACTTTGGGAAATGCACTTGTCGGCAGGTGGAGAGTAGAGAGAATGTGAACAGCACTGTGGGCTTGGCCTTCATTTTATTTTCAATTCTCTTCTTATTAACTTAGAAATATGATCTCTAAACATGTATTCATAATGACAAAATTATACTATCAAGGAGATTTGGAAATCAAGTTTTTAAAAAAAAAATTTGAAATAGAGATTTACTATAGCAGCAACCTAAGCCAAAAATATAGGTAGCAGTGCCACCAACTGGCTACTTTCAGTTCTCTTTTTCTGGTATTTTTTTCCCAAGGCAATGAGAAAATGAGTATGACTTTTATAGATATATCTCAAGTTCAGTAAATCATCTAAACTTGAAAATCTTCCAGTTTAGTTACTCTGCATATTAAATAAAAAAAAGTTAAATTGATAGAAAGATGGCACAAAGGAGCCTGATTTTAATGGTGATCTTGTCATGAACACAATGGTTTATAATTAGATCTAACACTGAGGTTCCCACTGTAACTCAGCTTCTCGCCTGTGGCCCAGAGGGTTGGTGTGAAGTTCCAGCATTAAGTTAACGTTAATCAATTTATCTTTTTCATTTTAAAACATTGTCTTTACTCCGTGTTCTTCTCTAGTGTCCTCCATATATATTTTTCTTTGAAACTGAACTTTTGGAAGGAAAGATTTTTATTCGATCTCTATGATATTACTTTCTGTTCACTCAGCAATACTTGAAATTCTTTTGACAAAGATCACCAGTGGCTACTTTTTTTACTTAAACCAATGGTGCTTACTTTATTTGAACCAGTGCTTATCTTACTTTGATTTTTTTCTACTTTGATTATTGACCTCCTTGCCATATTCCTTTTTTGCAGGGCTTCAGAGTCATGCCTCTTTGCTTCCATTATCTCAGTGGCTATTCCAGATCAATTCTGTCACAGCTCTAATTGCTTTATCCGCCCCTTAAAATGTGATGTTTCTTGTGGTTTTATTCTTAGCTTTCTTTTCTTTTAGTCCACAGTTTCCTCGGAGTGATGTTGTTTATTCATGGGGCTTGAACTACCACCTACATGGTAGCTGCTTTCCAAATTCTATCTCCAGAATATGTCTCTCACCTAAGCCTCAGATCCACATATTCATATACTCATTTTGGACATCACACAAGTATCTCAAGTTTACCACATCCAAAATTGAATTGCTCACCTTCCTCTCACCCACAAGCTCTTCCTTCTTCTCTATTTCGGTGTGAATTGTACCATCAATTTAGTTGCACAGCAGAACACATAGGAATTATTCCTGACCTTTCTCTTTGCTGCCTCATCCATCTAACCAACAAGAAGCTCTCTATGGAGTCCATTTACTTTTTCTAATCATAACTATTTCTACTCTGGCTTAGGTCCTTATCATTTTTCACCTAGAATAATCCAGTGACCTCTCTTGTTTCTATGACTCTAAACTCTTATTTGTCTTTCATATTACTGCCTAGAATGATTTAAAAAATACACTCCTCCCCTATTCTGAAAGCTCTTCTTTGAATCCTCATAATCTCAGGATAATCTACATGTATTAGCATGGCATGTAGGTCTTTTTGTCCTCTGACCTTTTACAACCTTTCCAGCTTCCTCTTTCTGAATTCTGCGTGGTAGCTATTCTCAATAGGTTGAAGTTGAGGACCCCTAAAGCATGCTTTGCCTCTAGACCATCTTGCAGATAGTGCATTCTTCCTCCCATTTGTTCTTTCATTTCTCAGTAGGAGTCCTTCAGCTCAATTTTCCAAGTCTGCTACAGTTGCCTTCTCAAGAGTTGCATTTTAATGCTCTTTTTTTTCTGTGCTCCTATAGCATTCCATGTTCACCTATGTATCAGAATAATCGCGTTTTAAAAATAATTGTCTATTTTTTTGCCTTACTGGAATTAGAGCTTCTTGGAGCCACTGATGGATCATGTCTATCTTTGCATCTCTAGACTGAACACATATTGGAAAATGATAAATGTTTGTTTAATGAATGAGTGAACAAGTGAATAAAAGGTTGAAATGTTCTTTATCCCTCATGTTCTTGTGACTTTACTTGAAATCCATTTTCTCCCAATATGAATTATTTTATTTTATTTTATTTCAGTGTTCTGGTAATGAGTTTATGACCCAGACAGTCAACAACTCTAGCCAAGGACTTTGTGGTACTATGGGATCAGGAGTCAAAAATGGAGGACAGGAAATCATTGAAATGGTCAAAGGAGGACACCAGACCTTGGAATCATGTCGCGGGCATCATCACACCCTGGATTCCTGCAGGGGAGGACATGTGGAGATGGACAACTCCAGATACACTTACTCAGAGTGGCATAATTTCACTCAGCCCCGTCTTCATGAAGTGAGTTTCCCTAAGTTATTTGACTGTACGATTTAAATGTCTAAGTGGAGAACAATGAGAAATTGAAATTAGCCTATATTTTTTAAGAAACTGCTTTTCCATATTCTACATTGCATCCTCTATCTTACTCTCATTATTTCTCCCTCTGTTCATTGATCATGTTACATTATTTAATAGAAAAAAGATTTTATTTCATGTGTCATATTCTCTTAATTTCTAAAAGTTCATGAAAATTGGAGGTTACATTTCATTTTTAGATGTGTGTTTACCTCACAAGCTTTTTTAATATAGGAGAATATGAAAAAAAATCTCATTCTTCAGAATCACAAAACTCCCCAAATCAAACCTTAATTTCTTTATATAAACAAAGCATCTATACACAGTTCTAGGATGAACATTAAATAATATGATCTATCTGAACTATTTTTAATCTAAAAAGCACCATGCAAATATAAAATGTTTTATTCAGAAGAAAGCAAGGATGTGAAAGAAAAGAGAGATTAAATAAGGGATTTTCAATCCCGACAGCACATCAAAATCCCATGGGAAACTTTTAAAAAATACTATTGCCTGTGCTCCACCTTGAAAGATGTTGATTGAATTGATTTGGCTTTAATTTTTTTTTTTTTTTAATGTAAAACTCCTCAGTTGATTCATGTGCAGCCCAGGTAGAGAACCACTGGATTAAATATTCCTTCTGGTACTGAGTTTTCACTTCTTTGATCAGAGGGTACCATTACTATTGTAACAAACACTGGACCAGAAGAAGCACTTAATGCTTTGACAGACTGCAAATGGGCAGTATTCTGTGACATGGCTCTAGCTTATCGTACGTCCATGGGATTTTTTTTCTCTTGAAATACAAGTATTAATCTTTTTTCTGTTTCTAGACAGTCAGTTTCATGTAATACCAGGTTGAGAAGGAGAGAAGCTTAAGAAGCACTCTTAGAGGAGTGTTCTTCAATGTACACATCAGGTAATGGGATGTGAGGCTAAAATGGTCGTGAAGGAAGGCACTTGATGATGTAAGACAAGGAAATAAGCTCAGGTTATAGAGGGAATGGGCAAACAAGTGAGGAAGGGAGGAGATACAGGAGTCTGATAAGTCAGCCAATGAGTATGTGACAGACAACAAGGGTAGATGTGGCCGAATGCTTGGCCTCTCCATTCCAAAGACCAGGTTTTTGCAATGTGAGTTATGTTACTTTTAATATCGCTGAATTTTTTTGTTCATCTCTACTTTGTCACGTTTTAGTTATCTTGGAAACTTGATTCTGAAGCCAATGTGGTAATTCTTACCTACTTTATAATGGCATGGAATAGCAATTTTAGTTAACATCTATTGTACATTTACTATGTGCTGAGCATCATGCAGGTATTTTTTATGTGCTATTATTTCATCATTTAATAATGATTCTGTGAGGTAGTCACTGTCTGCATTCCTAGTTTAGATGTGAGGAGAGGGAAATTTAGAGATGTTTAGTAACTTGCTCAAAGTAATACAGCTAGCTGGTAAAGCCAGAGCGACGACTCAAAATTAGGACCGTTTGACCATTCAAGCTCAAATTCTTAACCACTATGCATAATGTCACCATCTGTCAACTAGCCTGAGCTCTAGATATAAAATTTAGGGATAATCATTTAATGGTAATTTAAATGTACTTAAATATAACATTTGTATACAAAGTTTTTGTTTGTATGAATGACTAGAAATGTAATTTTTTTTTTTGGTATGACTTTTTGGAATGGTTGTGATATAGACCAATTATGTGCATTTTTTGTATGTAGGACTCCATTAGAGGACACACTGGTTAAAAATTAAACATAAAAGGTAAATAAAAAAATTAATTTTATGTTCATACATTTAAGTGTGTTTAAAACAATAATATAATCCTTTTTTTATTTTACAGAAATTGCATCTATGTAATCAGAATGAAGACCACATCCCATCTCAAGACTATATCCTTACATATAACTATGAAGGAAGAGGATCTCCAGCTGGTTCTGTAGGTTGCTGCAGTGAAAAACAGGAAGAAGATGGTCTTGACTTTTTAAATAATTTGGAAGCTAAATTTACTTCATTAGCAGAAACATGCACAAAGGGCTGATGGTACAGTGCTACAATTAGACATGCTTTTGTCAGACATTCTGCAGTTTTCCAAAAGTGATACTGTAAACATCAATTTCAGTTTCTAAATATGAATATGAATGTTTGTGAATTTTTCTAAATTTTAAATTATGTTAATTACCAATTTATATTTTCAAGACAATTCATTGCTTATCTTTTCCAAGAAGTTTAAATGTTAAAACAGATTTTGCCTTCTTTACTGATGAGTAAATAGACAACTAGCAAATCTCATGCTGTAGCGTTGCAATTAAAGTTTATAAAGGACCGGCCCTCTTTACAGATATTTTCCCAATATAAATATGTTAGGTAAATATTAGTCTAACAATAGCTAAGTTGTACTTAATTGAATATAGCAGAACAATTATCTGGGTTAGAAATTCTGTTTTTGTTCCAGATTTAGATTTAAGTGGAATAAGATTATATAAAATACAATAACAAATTATATTGGATTTTTTAGCTCTAAACAATCAGTAGTGCCTACTCAGTAGCCCTTAAGATTTCTAGAATTTTGTTTTCCTTCAGGTTAGCAAAAGATCTTGGAGAGCAGTATTATCTACTTACTCGATTGCCCTAATAAAATTCTCAAAAGTACATAGCCACAACTTTAAACTACACCAGGAAAGTTTAGACTAAAAGATTGTGTTGCTTTTATACTTTTGACAGTGTGTTCTGTGGTTTATAAAAAAGATTATTATGAGAAATATGTTTCCTTATTCTCAAGAAACAAAATTATATTTTCCATAGGGTTATTATCTGTATTTTAATGAAAAACACTAACAATCTTTTATTAAGATTATAATTCCAAGTTTTAATATTTTTTTTCTGAGATTCAGTACTACTATTGATAATTTGGCAGTAATGAAAATTATGCTGAGAAAAAGTTGCTTTTCTTTTCTTGAGTACTGTACTTTCATATTTTAGTTGCAAGTTTAGCATTTGTGGCTCTTATTTTCTTTAAATGGCAGCCACTTGCAATTAGAATTATTATCCTTATTAGAATTGTTATCCTTAGATGGATTGTGGTTATGCCTTATAGTCTGAAGAAACAGACTCCATCATAATTATAAGTAACAATAATGAATAAACATGCATTTTTGTTAACTGCCATTTTCAAAGAAAAATATTATTCCTTATTAAGGCAGATAAATATTACAAAATGCTGTAAAGAATTGAAATAATATAGAGAAACTTAACCCCTAGTTGCAATTTAATCTCTCTCAAAATGTTGCTTAAATTTACTACTTCTCAAATTTGTTTATGTGATAGAGGCCCAGGAAGGCTTGCAGAATACCCCAAGGCAAGGATGTTTAAACTTAAAATAATGAATACCTAAATTTATGGTAAATCTGTTATCACATTATTGTATAATCACTTCAAGTGATAGTTTAAGAAATAGATAAGAAATATTAGTTATCACTAGCTGAAGAAAATTTTGGAGGAAGAAAAACAATTAAGACTAAATTAGTTTAAAAATTTTGCAGCTATGAACTGGAACCTGTTTCATTCAGCTCCCTCTCCCTGCCACTCCCAAATTCTTTATTTGACTTTGGAGACAGAATTTATCGTGCTAGCCCATGAATTGGCAGTGTTCTATGAGAATATAGTTTGAACTGACTATATATATGTGTGTGTATACATGTATACATATTTAAAATGAAATGAAAAACCAAGGGGAAGGTGATAATTTAAAATGAAGCTGGGATGTGGTGTGTCCTACAATAGAAACCAAGAGTTTAAAAAAGAGAGTGCCTCTATGCTTAGTTCTTATGTGCTGCATGATAGTTAAGCATATTAGGAAATAGTTCATGTACATTTGTGTAATTTGTTTAAAACTGTATACAACTGATTAATCTTTTCTGTTTTCAGTGGAAAAGGAAGGGAAGCAGGTAGAACAGTAGATTTATTTTGCAGTATCTTTCTGCTTTCATAAATTAGGAGTAAACTGGTGAATGGCTGTCATGGCCAAGACTCCGTGATTTATGGTGGCAGTGTTCCAGAGAGGAAATGTTTTTCTTGACTCTAATAATATAAGCATTGTTTAACTTGATTCTGGTGAAAATAATTCTTGTATCACCATTTTCTTTCTTCTATCAACTGCTTTTTTAAAAATTTAAAGCCAAATAACTACATCCACTTGGCCAGATTTTAGAAAATAAAGGGAGCTGGGGGACAGTCTTATTGAAAGGATTGAATGACTGTCCTAAGACCAAAGTCAACAAATATGTCACCATTTGCACTGTGTTGTAATCAGAGCCTGGGAAATGTAATCAGAGCCTACTCACTGCCCTATTTTAAAGTGGCACTGGTGTGATTCCAGGAAATCCAGCCCTTGCATCAGGTCCCCTTCATTAATCTCTCTTCCACTGTTGCTGATAACACTTAGATGCCAAATACTCCAGATTGTCAATCACCCTTCAGTATGAACAGTATGAATTAATTTTTACGAGTTTGCTTTTTTATGAAGATTTTTTTTTTTTAAATAATAGAGGAAATAGGAATTTTGAATACACAAAAGAAATAGACTGAATGGTCATTTGGGGACGCAGGGGACTTTGGAAGAGGACAAGCCCAACGGGAGGTATTTGAGTAGTCAGTGAGAGAAAGCCATGAAAACCCAAGCCTTCAATTCAAAGCCATGAGAGAGGCCAAGAAGGGGACATGTGTGGTAGTAAAGACAAAATCATTTGCTTCATAATTTTTCATAGGCCAGGCCCTTCCTTTTCTTTCTTTTCTCAGGCCTGTGGCAGCTGACATTTGATTTTGGTGAAATATCACCAACCCTTTCTCTATGACTCACCTTATTTGGACTGCAGACTCAAGGAGAAACAAGCTGACTGCATGATGAGACTGAAGGCAATTACAGAATGGGCCTGAACTTGTTGTGTAGAATTAAGAAGGCATTTATGGCAAATCCTTCATTCCTTATGTCATCCTCTGGGCACTGAGATAGAAGATCTTCAGTTAAATGTGTGTCTAAAATTTTTTATTTAATGCTACATTTTCAGTTTTCTTATTTGCCCCTGAAATCTGGATTTTTAAACTTAGACTTTTGAAAGGGTAATTTTCCTTATAAAGTTTTATTTTTAATGTAAACAACTTTAATATGTAGTATTTTTCTTTCCTTACATGTGCAAGGTGAAAATTATGCTACTTTAATGTGAAAGAAAATGTCCTTTCAAAGCTTTCATATTTTTAGTTCTTGAATTTTTAATGTAAATGTATAGATTGTTTTTTCTTATTTTTTATGAGGAAGCAGTTAACTGTCTAAAAAGCAGTGAAGTTTGTTTTATGACATTTTTAACAGCTTTAATTTTGCTTTTAAAAGAAGTTACTTTGTTTTTAAAGAAATGTGGCAGGTTAAAATAGTACAAATTATATGTGTAAAGTATTATTTACTTGTATGGGGTATAATAAAACAATGTTAACTTGATTTGTCGTCTTTGCTCTATTTAGAGATTAATTCCAAAGTGATCATATTAGAAAATTGTGCTTAAGGTTGGCATGGAAATAGAGATTGTCAATAATGTTTTATTGTATTGCTAGAGAATATTTTAGAAAACAGGTAATTGTCAAATTGTCAACATAATTAATATATACTTTATAGTACTTAGGAGGAGATGACCTTTTGGGGCACTACTTTACAAATGATATCCATCTGTATGTCTATCTATTTTTATCTGTCTATCTATCTATCTATCTATCTATCTATCTATCTATCTAATTACCTATCATCTATCTATCAATCATTTATCATCTATCTGTCATCTTCTATCTATCTGATTTTGACTGGGTAAAGAAGTATTAGAAGGTGGTTGTAATTACAGAGTGCTCCAGAAATAAAATGCTGATGCTGCATTTTTACTTGGAGGTACAGTGCAGTCAAAGGGAAACATTATGAGTTTAAAAATAAAAAAAGCAAGTGATATTTCGGTCTTGGTTCTGCCACTTTGCCACTTATCAGATATATAACCTCTGAGCTTTAATTGTAACTGAATTATGGTGTTATGCACTCCACAATGAATTTTTCTTCAGTTGTGTGTGCACGCATGTGTCTGTGTTCTCCCAGAAATGTAAGGCTGACCATTTGAAAAATTTATAAGTTATATCAAAATCTTTACATTTTAATATAATTTGAACCTCAATTTCAATTTCAGGAATTTTCATTGTGATCATTATTTTTGTGTGTAAATATTTGGCTTTCAAGTTTTGCTTATGATAGCAAAACAGGGATAAATTCCAAGTGTTCAGCAGAGTTGATTTGATTAAGTGTTGAGTCATAGTGATTGAAAAATGAGGACGCCAGAGTCAGACTATTTTAATTTGCATCCTGGCTCTGCCACTACTCTCCATGTGACTTTAGAAAGCTTACTTAGCCCCTCTCTTAGTTTTCTCATCTTTAACACCAAAATAATCACATTGACTTCATAGATTTGTTCGGATGATTAAATGAGTTAATATACTTAAAGCACGTAGAACATTGCTTGTACATAGTAGAAGATTTATAAGTTGTAGGTATATAGGCAGTAAAAGTATGTGGTTGAATAAACTACAAAACATTATCTAATCTCTTTTTAGGGTAAAGTTTATATAGGAGGGAGAGAAAAGACCTGAACAGAGTGTTTGCAGTCAATGAAATTGTGGTTAATTTTTGAACACATTTTGTGTTCATTTTCTACAATGAACTTTGATAACATTTAAAATTATTATTATTTTTGAAGGATTAATCCCAGCCCTAGACAGCTCCTTTATGACTCTTTTATTAGTGAGAATTAGGATTGGCTGCATGGACAGAATATTATTTGAGATTTAGGATTTTCATTTTCTCTTTACTTTTTTTTAATTGTGGTAAAATTTGCATAATTTTAAGTGTTCAGTTCAGTAGCATTCAGTACATTCATAATGTTTTGCAACCATCATTACTATCTAGTGCCAGAACATTTTTATCTCCTCAGAAGGAAACCCTTTAAGCAGTCACTCCCCATGTCTCCATTCCTTCAGCTCCAGGTAACGACTCATCTGTTTTCTCTTTATGGATTTGCCTCTTCTGGACATTTTATATAAATGGAATCATGCAATATGCGTCCTTGTGTGTCTGTCTGGAGGCTTTCGTTGAAATTAAAACCTTGTGTGCATCCCTTTACTTTGGAAAGAAATCCTACAGTACCTGAAAGGTCGCGTTCAGAGTTTCTCAGAAACAAATATGGCTATCAGTCATTTACCAAACTCAAAATGAGTATTTTTGATGAAAATCAAATGTAATAAAGCAAAACTAGATCTGATGATAAGTAAATCTTATGTGTTGATATATGTCATTTGTAGAAGCATATATCTTTTTGGCAAAATTTAGAACTATAAAAATTGGCCAGTGTAAATGGTCACAGAGAAAACTGACAATGCGATGCTATAATTGGTAAAATTTGATATAAATTGCTAATTGATCAAATGAATCAATTTCTATTGCAAAATATAAGTACAATATAGTCTTTTAAAAACAATTTTAATAAAAATAGAAAATTGGAAAAAATGTATCTTTACTGTATAAGAATTTGGAAAATCAAAATGGCTTTTATATGAACTGGAAATTATTTTCTGGACAAAACTCATCTTGGCATAATTCTAATATCCATATTAGAAAATACAGAGTAAAATGTTCTAAAGAGTTAAAACTCAAGTTGAAAACTTGCTTTAGCCTCTCTGTTAGGTTCTGAACTACCCAAATGAATCTATCTTTCTATCTTTGTGTCCACTTGCCCTATACACCAGCCAGTAGGCTCTCTAAAACAGAGTCCATTTTGGAGTGCAATGGTTGCTGAAAACACACAG